AGAGGAGAGAGAGAGAGAGAGAGAGAGAGAGAGAGAGAGAGAGACGAGGAGGACTCTCGAACATTGAGATCATAAAAGATAAAGGAACAGAGGGTGAAAGTATTATTACTTTCGGACTGTCCCGCGTTAGGAAGTTTCGAACAATTTGATAAAAACTTTGACAATCAATGGCTTCTTGAGCGGTTATTTCTGGACAAAGGAAAGTGTAGTTAATTCGTGTCGAAACAGATTTAGTAACTGTTGTTGCTCACAATTTCTTCTTCGAAAGTGGAGGAAGTTGTCGATGCGATTTCCAGTGTGTATTAGGAAAAAAGATTTATTTTTCGACGATTAGATGATATATACGAAAATATATATAAGATTATATTTAATAATATTTGATATAATTTTTGTTACCAAATAGAATATTATATTAATTACAATGCGCTATCGAACATTCTCCATTATTTATTTATGCAATCGTGTGAATATTTTTTTTATTCGATTTTTATATTTTATATTTTAATTCTCCGCTTTATTAACATTCACATTATCTCGTACAATGTAAAAAAAAATAGCTACCTCGTACTTACCTTCATTAGAACATCCGACATTAAAGCATTTATCCCTTTCATCATCCGCAAAGATATTTTTAAAACATCTAATAATTAACAAAGCGGAAATGATCAATTACAAAGTTGGAAAAATCTGACTCACTCTTCATAACGTATCATCTTTCGAGTCGCGTTGTCAAAAATTTTATCACGATATTTAATATCACGATAACGTGGAACTTGAAAGAACGATTCGAGCGTGTGCTTCGATATTTCGTGCTTCCCGCGTAATGAATCAAAATGTTAAAACTTATGGAAGCACACTGACCCACATTTCGAAGAACAGCCGCTACTTTCACGTACATTATACTCCTTAAGATTCCTGGTAGAGAGCGGAAAATCTGAAAGAGGATAAAGGCGAAGACTGTGGAAAAACAGAGAGAGAGAGAGAGAGAGAAAGAGAGAGGATTGCACACTGTATATTTCTTTCCACCATTCTATTCAACGGCCTCCTCAACGTTTGTTAAATAAACTTTCCCCCTTGGCTGCGTGAAATATGAAAATACTGGAGGGCAAATACACATTCGCGAATTCTTTTTCGCCCTACATGCACGTACCTCGCGAGTCAATTTTCTCGTGTCCTTTGTTACACGTCCCGCAACCGACTCATCTCTCTTGCATATTCTTACTCAACTCTCGAATAGGAAGACAATTAGGGAACTGGTCGTGTTTTTAGATTATACTGAAATAACTTATAAGATGTTAAATAGGATGGAACGAAAACATTTTGTAACGTTATAACGAGTGTCGTTAAATTTTTATTTCAAGAAAGGTGTAACATTGTTTAAAAGATGTATATTTAATGCGTAAGATTTGAAAAATTTAATTCTAAAGTTCTTTTATGTGATTAAGGAAGATGATAAGAAAGAATATATAAATTTTGTAATTTAATATTTTTCGATATTATGTATATAACGTAAAAGTATTATTTATTCTTTTCTCGATACAAGTCTTGCCTTTTTGCTACGTTAATATCGAGCGTACAGTTACAATGAGAATATTAAAAGTGAAATTCACAATCGTGAAATAAAATGTTTAATCGTAAATAATTTCTCCAAGCAATTATATCGTTCGCGATATGCGAATATTAAAAAATAAAATATTCGGTTTATTAAAAATAATTCAATATAAGTGGAATAATTCGTGATTGAAAAATTGAATTCCTTGTCGAGCAATGGGAAAACCTATCTGTTCATACGCCGCATCATCAGATTACGGGATTAAGCAGATTCCCTTGAAAACTGTAGAAACTGCAAATTGTAATTCCAAAATTCGTTTCTATCCCATTTTCCAAGAATCTAGGCCCTGAACCAGCTGGCGATAAATTTTCCGATACTGCGATACTAGCCTCAAGCGTTAAGCTCGCGCTGTTTATCAGAGAAGCTCTCCACTGCTAACAAAGTTCCATCGGAAAGGAGTACAAACCATTTATGTAACACCAGGATACATAGCCTAGATAGCTGAGACATGTCTTAAGAACGTTTTAAAGACGTCTAGTAATTTTCCACTGACCTTTTAAAGACGTTTCCTGGACGTCAGACATTTCTATTGTGCTCGGATCTCTACGACTTAATTGTGTTCTTAAATTAGCGCAATTTTTTTCCCCTTCTTTTTTCTTCTTCTTTTTTTTGTATTGGATTTTGCTCAAAATTAGATTTCTCCTTTTTTGTAATTGGTTTGGTCCGTTTTGAAATATATGTTGGAAAGTACTGAATGAACTTTTTATTGAGCTTGTTGGGAAGACAGGCAATTACAATTACGAACCTAACAATGGGGTTAAAGAGGAGAAGATAGTGTATTGAATCACTTTTGTCTGTATTTTAATTCATTAAGAGAGAAAAATAAATGATAATTTACATCATAAAAGTAATTATTTATAATTCATATAGCACACAGAGATGTTTGATAACTTTCTGATATTTATGATATTTATTTATTTCGTTTATTATCGAAAGAAAATAATTATATATATTGTTCATTATATATTGTTATATAATTGATAATAATTACATTTAGAAATAATTATTAATGAAACATTGAAAATGGCCAAGTATATATTCAACTTTCTTCGGGTCACTGCAAAAAAACTATCCAACTTGATAACGATAAAATCATACATAAAATCAACATATATGTATAATGACATTATAAACTCATACGATATAATTCAATTGTAATATGCAGAAATTATATTAAATTCATCGCTAAAATTACCAACCCCAATTAAAACGACAAATTTTAGACATATAATTACAAAAAAAGCACTTACCTTCATTGAAATTAATATTAAATTTCATGTTCCTCGCCCCTTGGCATATTTTCAAATCGACAGTCCCAACATGAAAATATCGACAAATTTCATCTATCGGTTAAAATTTAAAGACTTAAAATAGTCTCCTCGCTTACTTATCCTTCTCCAGCTCGTCTTACGTCGCGTCACGTGTTCGATCGTCAAACGTATCCCGAGAAAATGTATCCAACCCGAATCCCGTCCGGCATCCGGAGTCGAAGCTGTCAATCGGTTTCGAATCTCGCGCCAATCGGAACCAGGCCACCACGAAAATAGTGGAGACGGAAAGATTTCCGTAAATCCTGAGCGAAACAGGGGGGGAGGTAAAAGGGGGAGATAGCGGTGACAGGCGAGCTGGCTGGCAGACAGGCAGGAAGGCTGGGAGGGAAGTAGGGCAGAGGGAGCAGGTTTTCGTTTGCGGTTGAAAGAGCTGCCAGTAAAGGGAAAAAGCCTCCCTCTCCTCCCCTTTCCCTCCATCCCTTGACTCTCTGTCCCCGTCCAACCTTCGCTCCCCGTGAGGGGTTGAAAACTCGCGCAGGCGTTCCCACCACCGTCCATCGTGGCGCCTCGGCGGCTCACCCCGCCAACGGTTCACCCCCCACCCGGTGCGCCGCTCACCCCCGAACCACAGCCAACTCGGCGCTGCTCGTTGCGCCTCGGTCAATCCGCGACTAGTATGGCGCTACGCGCTCCGACACGCCACCGTGTACGTAGCGTGCTTTCTTAATCGTGGGCCACCGATCGTGCACCGTGATTACACACACGCTGGCCGCGGGTGAAACACGCGCCAATCATTCCTCCTACCCCGATATAACAGAAGTGATTCGACCACGACCCGGCTTCCAATCCTTGTTCCCTTGTTCTCGGACCGGGTATAAAGAAGAGAAAGGAAGAGTGGGAATAGAAGAAAACTTACGCCTATTGTGAAGATTCTTGTTGTTCCGGATGTTCGTCCGA